TAGGAGTCGCAAGACGGGGGCGAGAACGATATACCGAGACCTGTCAAAGCCGGGCACGTTATTGACACGGAACAATCGCGGTATTCCACGTATGATTACTCGAGAGGTTTATGCGAGGTTATACCTATATCGTTCACACATGATAGAAGATCGATCGTTTAACGCTTGAAAGTTTTAACGAGAGCATTCCGCCAGATTATCCTCTACCGAATGCCGCTGATCGAGATGCAAAAAAAAATTTGATTAATATATGATAGAGAAGATTATTTAGAGATAACAGTTATTCGGCAATATTCACTACACTACAAGCTGCAAAACTGCATAAATTATAGCCAAGTAAATTTAAAAAATACTAAACAACTTGCAATTAATTATGTCATTTGGATCAAATGTTTAATCAGTCTTGATAACTAAAAAAAAATTTGTATCTAGAAGAATTTTAAAAGTGTAGTGTAAGTTACATCATAATAATTACATATTTAATGTAACAAAAGAGACAGGCGATTAATGTATAATAAGTAAAATCATAACTCTATCTTTTTTATAATTTATGGAAAGAAATCTTTTTTGTGTTATACTGAAATATAATTTAAAAAATGTTACATTATTAGATAGTGAAATAATAAATGTAGAATTAGAACATAAATTGTAAATAAATATTAGTTTTAAGAAATAATAAATAAATAATATGTGGAGATAAATTAAATATATATTAAAAAGGTCTATTTGCAATTTTATTATATTAAACCAATTGTCGTTAATTATAAATATAAAATTTTACATGGAAATTTTTCAATAATGGGAGTTCAAGTTCACTTATCGAACAAAAATTAAATATCATTTCCTAACGCTGTAATAATTTTGTCATATTGAAAAAGGTTATATAAAATTCACAATAAAAAAATCCACAGTCACAAATTTTATTGGGAGTAAACTTTCTCAACTTACTGATATCGTTAAACTGTCAAAAAGTTCGAACAATAAAGAAAGAAAGCAAGTGCAATTCTTATAAATCACAAAATTTTCTTCCGTGACTATTATTATCTAGTAAAAAAAAACTTTTATATATATCTGTAACGAGCACCGTTGCTTCTGTAAATTATTTTTATTTTGTTTGTAATTAAAAATCAATTATTACCATTCACAAATAATTTTACTTATTCAAGTACTTATGACAGTATCAAGTATCAAGCTCGTGTCAACAAATATAACACGACCAATCTAAATGAGCAAAATTTAGATCTTAGGATGTACCTGTAATTATACTGTTTAGTTATTATAAAAATTCGACATATATAAACCAAACGTTTCATTGATCCTTTCTCAATAATATCCTATTTCTATCTTCAGTGATATCCTATTCAGTGAAAATACTATTTAATAGATTGAATTTAAATACTGTCCTCTTTATTTTAAAAGGGATTACCGAATCAATATAACAATTAAGTTTGACAAGTCTTTCTTCTTATCCCTTTAAATTATCCCTTTTATATTATCCTTTTTTAAATTATCCTTTTTTAAATTATCCTTTTATCTTTTATACTATTTATATAAAAAAAAAGACGTATCTGACTCTTTTGCTACATTAATTTGGTAATCCTTTTTAAAATAAGGGGAAGAAGAATATTTAAAATCATTCAAACTATATGATTCAAATATCACTGAAGGTACAACAGACTTTGATAGCATTGAAGCAGGGTCAATAAAATCCCCTTATAAATTTTCATATTAAGTAAAAATTACAGTTACATTGTAAGATCAAAATTCTGCTCATTCAATTTATCTTTATTATGTTTATTAATAATTTTATTTATATTTCTCCCTTCAATTTGTAACGCGTAATAACTTGAATCTGATTGTTGTGAAACGCGACTTGTTGTACTGACAGATTGATATTGTATGCCACTCAGTGTTGGCATTTAAAATATCAGCCAAGTTTCAAAAGATTGCTCAACTCTGTGTAATAAGCGGAATCGCTTGTAGTGAAAAACAAATAAAGATAAATCTCTATTTGTACATTCAGTGCACGATTTATGGCGCAGCATTCGTATGTTGAATGAACGCGGATACGTTAAGATTTAAAGCCTTAGAAAGAAGCTTTCTAAGCACAAAACTGAAACTTTTATAAGCTAAACATAAGCTAAATTCTAGAGGCCGGATTGAAGTATAAGTATAAAAAGTATTAGATAGTGAAATAATAAGTGTAGAATTAAAATATAAATTGTACATAAATATTTATTTTGAGGAATAATAAATAATTGATGTATGAGAAAAAAATTAAATATATTAAAAAGGTCTATTTGTAATTTTATTTTAAATCAATTGTCATTAAGCACAAAACTGCGAATGGCTGAACAAAGCAAGACATATAAAATCCCAAAATCCGAGATAAATCATAAAGCAATTGAATAATCTAATATATATATGATATTTAGTAGGACCTGTTCTACCTGTCGGTTTGGTAATCAACTTTCATTCCCTTTTAGATCCGCGCAATCAAAGAAAAGGACGAACTTTAGTGGTAAACACCTGTTTCACCTAATCTAACTTACAAACTGTAGAGATCTATCAAATCTCGCTTATCAAACTGCAATTGCGGTACAACCCGTGGTAGCGTGATAATGATTCATCGGCAAGTTGTTGAATTTAGCCTCCGAATAGAATCTTTTACACTTGTTAAATTTATAACGTCAAGTTATACCCAATTTGAGTTCACGGAGAGAATTTTTTCTTAGAGTTTAACCTGAAAATATGATAGTTCTAGGACAACATTGTATTTCGATAAATTTTATGTAAATCATTCATTAATAAAATTACAATAAAATATAAAATAAGTTTGATTAATTTTATTGACATGCATGATAAAAATCTTTAAAATATTATATTGTATCATAACTATCATATTTTCAGGTTAAATTTTAAGAGACAATTCTGTCCGTTCTATTGATAGCCATTGTTACCCAAATATGTCGTTAATTCGATTAAAATAATAGAGTTAAATGATTTACCTCAAGAAAATGTATTAAATTTGACTCAAGTTAAATTTATTATTTGATTTATACATTTTGACACAGATAGCATTGCTTTTTTAATATATCTAAAGGTATAATTATTATTAAAGGTATAATAAATTGTAATTTATTGCATTTTATAACGTCTAGTCAAATAAATTATTATTATTCGTTATTATTGTTAATAATTATTTTTAATAATTGAATTGTTTATATATAATTATTATAATAATACACGAGAGTAATATATTATTTTATTATTTATCAATCATTATCTGTGATTATACGTACATTTTCCTATATGTGCAATATTTTTTTATAACATAATCAAATAAAAAATAAGATTTAATAATGTCACTAAATATCAAAATTTTACAAGCTTTCATCTACCTTTAATTAATTATAATTTGTAAATGTATTAACTTGTTATTGATGCGGAAAAATATTGAAGAAATACTTCTCTTATTTGAATATGCAAAAAAATACAAATTTTTTAAAAGAGAAAACATATTTTTAAATATATTTGCAAAATACTAGCTACTTTCATGTTATATTAGTCTATTTTGATGGGCGAGTTTAGATCGGGAGACTTTAAGAGAATTAAATCGGTTAATCCAATCAAATAAATGATGCTATTAGTTCTGCAACTGAACAAGAAAAAGTGAATGAAAAGAAAAATAAAATTAAAAACGGAGAAATTATAAATAGATAAATAAAATAAATCGTTTCGAGAAGGTGAGGCAGGGAAAATTAGTAGATACTAATTTATTTACTTCATTTCTCACGGATTCGTTTATCACAGATGTTTAATTTGATAGACGTAGAACTGTACATTGGATTTTTCGTATAAAAGCACTCTTATAGCGCAATTATTATAAATATCGTATTAACTGGTAATATCATCCACTAATCGATATTAATCAGTTATAAGCATACGGCCGTTGGCCTCGAAATAAAATTGTACTTTTAGTATTAATGATGTTTGCATTAAAAATGATAGTATTAATAATATCGTGTGTTTATACAATTCTCGCACACGCGTGCGCGCTTTCCGTGAAACTATGTAGAAAGTGTAATTGAAATGAATCAGCCTGACAGCGCGACGGGACATTTGCGACGGTGAATATAACAGTGCAGGGACTATTCTATATTCGTTTCCGGATTACGTTCTCGATTTTCACCGAAATCAAGATTAAAACGCTCGATGAATGACGTGTGAATTGTCGTCTAAATATTTCTGACTGCCGTTAACATATCGGTAAAGTGTAAAGGTTAAATTTGCACAATAAGTGGTGACAGGATTTATCGGATTATCCGTTATCGATCGGTCCAAATAAATTTTATTATTTATACAGCTCGGTAACATTGGTCCATCGATCATAATGTAAAGAGATACAATGTAAATACACAGTCATTTTATTAAACGATTAAAGATCGATCACTTTCGTCAAATAAAATATAAAATAAAGGTATAATAAAAACACAGCGATTATTGCTCTTTTTTCATTAGAAAGATACTTTCCAATCACTTAGGATGTTCTGTTTTGTTTAAAATTTAATGAAAAAAAAAATAACGAACTAATGCACCAATCTAATAGCACTTCTTCGCAGATCTATTATAACAAATTTATCTCTGGATAATGGAACAATCGACTGTTAAAAACTGTTCCCGAAGCATCAATTTGCAACTTCTTTAATGTCATTAAATGCAATGAGTTACTTATCTGCGAAGATAAGAAATAACATGTTACACATCCCGAGTAATTTCCGCTATCGCTCGTCAAGCAAGATCACTTCATTTGACCGTGAATCGGCAGAATGCTGATTGTCGTAATACCGGAGTCGGATGTCATAATATTCGTCGAAAATTTAAAAATCGTCAAACATGAGAATAGGCGAACGAGGAAAATAGTTCGATCAGTTCTAAATTTCCCCGCGCAATCCTCAATATCCTCGAAGAGGAAAAGAAAGCATCTTAAGTACACTTACTTGTTGAATTCGCAGAGCTTTCGTAAGAGATCGGTAAAATCCCTCGAGTGGAGGTCTCTTTCTCCGCGAATATCCTCCAAGAAGACAAAAGATGCGCGAAGAGCGAAGTTTTAAGTTCCTCTTCTTGTGGGAGAAACGTGGAGACGCGAAAGGTGATCTCGCCGACGACTTCCGGAAAAAGTCGTCGACGATTACGTCGACGTGGGGACCGTTTGAACCGAACTGACTGGGAAGAAGTTAAAAGTCCAAGGTAGTGATCGGCGACAATGCCGTGGATGATGGTGACCTGGACGGGCCTTTAACAGGTGGCACGCGCGACAGAGTTCCTCACGGTCCAGAGTGCTAACGACGTGTGACGTCGACGCCACAGTGCGAGAGGGCTTTTATAGCCGGTCGGTGCCGCGGCCGACCCGACTCGATTCGTCTCCACTCGACTCGACGCGACCTTCCTGCCTCCTGCCTGCCCAGAGACTCTTGGCCCTATCAACTGATTTGTCATTACGTCTTCTACTCCCAGGTCCACTGCAGTCTCCCTTCGCGCCTCTAATTCACCTCTCGTTGGAGCAGGATTAATAAAGTAGACTTCATTTATCGATGCACGCTTATTCCTAGACGTCGCGCCTGTCACTTGATTCCTTTGTAAAATTATAAGGAAGTGAATGAAACGTCCTTTAAATAGAATATAGAACCTTTTAATCTTGTTCCACATATTACTTTAATCTAAGAGAAATTTTTTTTTAATTCTATATTTATATACAGTTTTCGGAAATATGAATTTTATTATTAGAAAAATTTTTATTTGGAAGGAAAATTTTAATTATTGTATAAAAAATATTAGTTTACATGTTATTAATATGTAAATAATTATGTTTTAATAACAATAATAATTAAATATATATACATATTTTAACATACATAGCAATTTTTTTTCTTCTTTTTGCAGAAAGAATATTAATTTAAAAACATTAGTATATGATGAAATAATTTAAAAAATTAATCTGTTCACTTAACAAAAGGCAAATCGTGTGATTAACATAAAAAAATAAATATATATTTATATCAGAAAAGAACATTACAGATTATATTTTACACACAATATAATTTATATTTGCCTGTATTTATATTTATACTATTTATATTAACTGTTGTATATTTAACTAATCTATATTATTTGGAAAGAAAACGAATTTTTGTTTTCATAATTAGCTTTTGCATGTTTATTTCTTATAAATGCATATTTTAACGTCTATTAACTACTAACTACGTCTAGTTTTTTCTCTCCTTTTTATAGACTTATTTATTACTTTTTTTGTTTTAGGCATTTAGTGTACCAGTGTTATACGTGAGTTTTATTGCTTTCCTTGTTTTATAAATACTTAAGTATCATTTGAAAAGAAAATGGAATATCAAATTAAATTCATTAATTTTGTACCTAAGCAAGTATTAAAGATATAAATAACGTGGGAAGAAGCCAAACAGGATAAGGAATATTATATATATATTATTATATATGATATATCCTTTTTTTCTGATTATTTTTACATTTACCATTTAATATCTATAAGAAAATAGCCAGGTCGGGCAATAACTTGTTATAAAAATGTTTTTATTTCAAAGAGTAAACAATCGATATAAAAGAACAGATTGAAACGTACATATATAAATTATTGAAAAGGATGGAAAATTGCAAAGCACATACATTGCAAATTATTTAAATTTATACCAGGAGTATTTTTTATTATTTTTGCTGCAAAAAAGTACCGAATTCGAGTAGCACTCCTTCAATTTCTATAAACCTGTATAGATATTTTTAAAAATATTTTTGTGAAAACCTCCACAGTTCTTAATAAGTTATGTATTAATAAACTAAAATTCGCAACCACTTGTGACGTACTTACCAAACGCGCGTTGTGAATACATAATTTAAGCCTCAACTACGGAAACCCACATGTAGATATTTTACTGTATTGGATTTATTGTTGAAGCAACAAATATTTTATTTTATTTTAATTAAAAATATTTATTAATGTTTATATATAATATAATGTGCATTGTGTAAATAGTTGCTAGTAGCTACAATTATGAAAATGTAACATCTGCACAAGCACGAAACTTTGGATAATGAAGTTAACCGGAATTATGCGAGGATTCTAGTCATAATTATATTTTGAATATGATAATGGAATACCCTATACTTGTTGCCGTTTATTACCCAACATTTTCCATTACACGTAAATATATTAAATATCGGGGAACGCGCAGGTGTCTCGTACGTAATAAAATAATGCACAAATGCGACGATTTGTATAAAATATTGATAATATTCTAACGGTATTGAAAGAAATATTAAGTTTATTAAATGTTTCTTTGCAGATAAATAAAGAGATAAATATAAAAAAATTTTCGATGACGTTAAGCATGACGATAGATATTCTAAAAAATATTGTCCACTTTTTTTAAATATACCATCGAAAAAAGTATTTTAATTTGCGAAAAACAGTACAGTTTGTAAATTAAATAATAATTTAAAATATGTTAATATTCAGATGTTTAAACGCTAAAATATAGAAAAGTTATACGCGCGCGTAGCTCCGTAAATAAATGTGATGAAATCTTAAATAAATATTTAAACAACATGTAATAAAATATTATTATTATTATCGTGAAAATTAAAATTAAATTCGGAAAAGCTCTTATTAAAACATTATGAAATTAATTGACAAGAATTAGAATTTGAATATATCATATACGCACACTTTTACAAAAAACGGGATAAGGAGAGAATCTTAATTTAGCGTACAATTTGTAAGCGTTAATTAACCGTTAATTCAATGAACACCAACGATAATAATCCAATGGTTCACTTACGCCATGCCATCGAATATATCGTTAAAACCGCTACTCACTATAGTGAAATTCCACCCTAAAGTAATTAAACAGCCGCGTCATCGAAGTGCAACTTTATCGCCCGTCGTCCTACTCAACATCATTTCTGCCATTAACACTTCCATCCTGAACCTCCTTCTAGAAGAAGCTCTTGATGCTTTGACACTTATGCCAACAACAATATACGTTTCTATGCTTTTGATAGCAAATCATGAGATGATTCATCAAATCTAAATCGTATCTCTCCTACAAAAAATATTAACTTCAATTCTGCTTCAATTTCTTATATTTTTATATTAAAATCTTTGTTTAAGAAAAAAAAAATAATTTTTTTACAACGTATACACTTTTCACAGCTAAATAATTAATGGAAGATAATTTGTTACTAATATTATTTTAAAAAGATTAATTTAATAACTTTTTTCTGTTTTATATAAAGAAATATGGAGGGGGGGGGGAGATAATTAGATATTAATAATCTATAAAATAGTCAAACATATATGACAAATAATCAAAGAAAAGGGTGCTTTCCGCGTATCTGGAAGAGATCCAATTCTTGTAGTGCAGTGGAATAACTAGTCGACTAAACCGACATCTCACCACACTTCATCAAAGTCACTAGTATTATAAGAAAGAATAAATATTAATACATATTTAAATTTTTAATAATATGTTAACTATTTTTTATTAATTTTGGAATGCAAATTTTTTCAATAATTTGTACAACATTTATTGCATTAGCTTTAAAAAAATTCTTAAGAATTTTCTATAATATATATGAATTTAATTTTTGAAACCGCTAAATCTTTTTAGAAGCACAAAACGAATTTCTTCCTGTTTGATTTATATAGATGTAATTCAGAAAAACAAAAATGAGCTGAAAAGAACCAAAGAATCTGTAAAAAAAAAGAGATACTCAATTTAATTACAAGGATCCACAGAAACATACGAGTACTCTAGATAAATTGCTTTATGAAAGATAGATACGGGAAGTAATAAGCTCATGATCAAACTAAAGAGAATCACTCTCGCTTGGACAAAGAAATAAAAATATTGCTATATTTTATTATTAATAACAAATTTTTTAACAATATTATATTTTAATATTAATTGATAACATTAATGATAATTGGCAAAACATTTTATATAGGAAAATACAAGAATGAAAAAATGAATTGGCCAGATAACTCATCAAAAGTCTGAGTGTTGTTTCAACCGTATTTTATTGAGACAACTCGGAAACAGGTAGTGCATTCCAATTGAATGCGTAACTTACGTGCACGTGTGTGTCTGACGTTTGTATGCAAGTAGAAAAAGAGTAAAAAAAACTACGCTCGACATTTGCGACCTGTGAGTACGAGGCGAGCATCAGATTAAAAGCGGAATTAATTAATTCACGTACAGTGTAATCCATTCGATGTACATGGTACTCGTGTGCGCGCACTGTCGACACTTTATTCACATCCTTGCCGCACTTCCTGTTACACTGGTGATCGCAGTGGACAAAGGAGATTGATCATCCGTTTCATTCGATTTCGCGGTGAAACTGCGCGTGAGTTTCCTTTTATCAGATTATGAATGAAAAAAATGCCTTATGCAAACGGGACGTGGCCTACACAGGACCAATGATGTGCCTGTAATTGTATATGCTTTGTAACATAATGTATCCTGGATGAATTTTATATTAAATAAGAGATTTTGTCTAGAATTTGAAATTATCCCTTTGTAAAAATCTTCATTCAACTTTTAAAGAAATTTTACTGGAACTTAATCATTATTTTATTATTTATTATCATTTAATATCTAGGAGCTTAATACTAAAATTCCAAGAAAATATCAATCTAATTGTTATATAAAAAAAATATAGAATTTAGAGATAAATTATAGAGATAATATTCCTCGCTTTATGAGATCTGGGACAGAAAAAAGATCATTCTCATAAATAAACGCGAATGGCACATATGCGTGTATCTTTATTTTATTTTATTAAGACAAATAAAAATGTTGTATAAAAATTAATAATTATTTATTATATCTCTTATATGTCTTGCTAATTTAATAACAAAAACGTGAATTTTGTTTTTATATATACCTTGATTTTTTCATGAATTTAAATTTTATATCGGTATCTAATGATTGACGATGCGTTAATGTATCTTTACAAATATTGCAGTCACATTTATGCGTGGAAGCACATCATCAGTATTTCAACACATTTCGAGAGTCATGCACTCGGATATTCATGGTATTTGACTCAAAGCAGAAGCCGAACTTGATAAACGCATAATGACAACGAAGCGCAAATGGATCGATTCGATTAAACGCAATCAAATCGTCAACGAGAACTATTATGTCCACATTTAATTGTCTCAACAACAGCTTTTAGCTATTCCATGCTTTTATTGAATTTTTCATTAAAAATGTCTGTTTCAAAATATCACGATATTTCGAATTCCTTCCAAATCAACACGAATATCTGTATCAAAATATAAATTGCAGCAAAATATTGCATTTTCTCAATGGAATATCTTCTATGATTCAAGATT